TATATATATATATGTATATATATATATTATATATATAATATAATAAAATGACTAATTGACAGAAATCGTTTATTTTATCCAAATTCTATGACCATCTGAATACCATGGCTTATAACAGTGCTGCTTTACATTTTTTAGAGAGGGGTTGACACTTGTACAGCATAATTATAATGTGATTCTTTTTTTTCCAGCTTAGCATGATTAGTTGGTTGGGAATTTATTCCCCTGCAACACAGTATTGTCTTGGTAGCTGCCTGAGACATCTTTCCTGAAAAAAAGGCTGCAGCTTCTTGGAATTTGAACACAACGATGCTAATTCCTCCAATGTTTTGTGAAGCGTTGTGCATTTGATTTGTATGACTATGGCATGTACAGACAATGTCATGGTTTCATGTCGTTTTAACTCAGATGTTATCGGACGCCAGCTCTTCCGCTTCCCTCAGGGGTTCTAAGAAAATCTACTGATGAGACACCGAGAGAGGTCTGACCCAGCAGCCTCTGGGGGGAGGGAAAAAGAGGCAAAGGAGAAACAGAGGAAAAGAGGAGGAAGAGAGGAGCCATGGAGATAACTTGGCAGGAGACAGGAGTAGGAATCTGTAAAGAAGAAGGAGACAGAGAGCAACGGCAGAGACAAATTAGGGCAGAAAATGGAAGAAAAAAGAAGCTTGTTTCTAGTGACAATGGGAACCTTCTACAACATAACACACGTTATTGAGCAGTTGTGTGTGTATGTGTGATGTGACTTGCATGGCACTTGGCCACCAAAAAGCTAAGCCTAAAATTCAGAATTGAATATATATATATATATATATATAAAATGACTAATTGACAGAAATCGTTTATTTATCCCAAATTCTATGACCATCTGAATACCATGGCTTATAACAGTGCTGCTTTACATTTTCTTAGAGAGCGGGTTGACACTTGTACAGCATAATTATAATGTGATTCTTTTTTTTCCAGCTTAGCATGATTAGTTGGTTGGGAATTTTATCCCCTGCAACACAGTATTGTCTTGGTAGCTGCCTGAGACATCTTTCCTTGAAAGAAAAGGCTGCAGCTTCTTGGAATTTGAACACAACGATGCTAATTCCTCCAATGTTTTTGAAGCGTTGTGCATATTTGATGTACATGCCATGGATCAGACAATGTCATGGTTTCATGTCTTTAACTCAGATGTTATCGGACGCCAGCTCTTCCGCTTCCCTCAGGGGTTCTAAGAAATCTACTGATGAGACCACGAGAGAGGTCTGACCCACAGCAGCCCTCTGGGGGGAGGGAAAAAGAGGCAAAAGGAGAAACAGAGGAAAAGAGGAGGAAGAGAGGAGCCATGGGAGATAACTTGGCAGGCAGACAGGAGTAGGAATCTGTAAAAGAAGAAGGACAGAGAGCAACGGAAGAGACAAATTAGGGCAGAAAATGGAAGAAAAAGAAAGCTTGTTTCTAGTGACAATGGGGACCTTCTACAACATAACACACGTTATTGAGCAGTTAGTGTGTGTATGTGTGATGTGACTTGCATGGCACTTGGCCACCCAAACAGCTAAGCCTAAAATCTCAGACTTAAACACACAGACACAAGGCATACAAAAGTTCTTGCGTGTGTGTGCATGCGTTTGTGCAAGTGTTTGGTGGGGGGCACACATGCGTGCCTGTGTGTGTGTGTGTGTGTGTGTGTGTGTGTTTTTTTTTTTTTTTTTTTTTTTTTTTTTGCAGAGCAGCAATAATTAGAGACTGTGTGTATTTGCACGTGTTTACCCCAATGAGCCCCTGTTCTTGTTGTTGGAAGAATGTTGATTATAGGCCTGATTTAGCTGCAGCAGTATGAGGATGTCGCTTAAAACGTGTGCGATAGTAGGTTCTGTAGTTGGTGTGTGTGTGTGTGGGTGGGTGGGGTATACGATGCGGGATGAGGTCAAGAGTTGTCAAAAGTTGTCCAATCACATTTGAGAAAAGAAACACACCCTGAATATTTTCTTTTTAGTCACAAGAAGTGTCTCCAGGTTTACATACATATAGAGCTGCAATGGTAAATCAGTCAATAGATTAGCCAATGAAATTACATCATCCTCTATTATGAAAGTGGATTAATTGTTTCAGTCATCTTTTCAAGTAAGACAAAACAAGCAAACTAAAGACAGCACTGTGGGCTCTAAGAAATTGTGAAAAATCTTTTTTCATTTTTTAAATATTTCTTAGACCAAACAGTGAATCAGTTAACTGCAGTAATATTTGTTAGTTGAA